TGCTGCAACGATTGCCGTTGTTTGCGAGGCTGGCTGAAGGAAAAGCTCCTCATTGCCACTATACTGTCAATGGACATGAGTACAATATGGGCTACTATCTGGTCGACGGTATCTATCCTTCATGGGCTACCTTTGTCAGCGCCATCTCAAACCCAATTGGCCAAAAAAATGCCCACTTTTCCCGAAGACAAGAAGTAGCTAGAAAGGATGTCGAGAGGGCATTTGGAGTTCTTCAAGCCAGTTTTGCAGTTGTTCGTGGACCTGCAGAACGATTGGATATGGAGACCTTGTGGGAGGTGATGACATATTGTGTGATCATGCACAACATGATCGTCGAGGCTGAGGGTGACGATGATGTCGCGGCTCTGGAATTTGAGAACATGGGTGATCTTATCCAACTTTCGGACTACAATACGATCACATTTGAGGAGTTCATTCAAATACATCAAAAAATTCGGCATCGACCAACTCAGGAGCAGCTCAAGAAAGATCTAATTGAGCATCAGTGGACGGTGAAAGGGGACAACAATGTTGGGATGGAAATATTTGAATTTTTTTAAATTTGAAGTAGTGTTGCATGCAGCTATTTGAACTTCTGTGCCATGTGCATGCGGCTACTTGATTGTGCGGACTTGGGGAAAAATTCGGAAGGCCGGATGTATGCGACTATAGTTGAATGTCAACCTCACGCATCCGTGTCCACGGACTGGTCCCCCACTATCCGCGAGCAACAATATGACGACGAGCTCCACGAGCAGAAGGGCGACAACGAGCTCCACAAGCCCAACAACAAATGACAAGCTAGAGGCTCCTCCCGGGGAACTCGACGAGGAATACGGCCACGACCATGCCCAACCGCATCGAGGTAGTGGACTGGGCACACGTGCATGTAGTACACCGGCTACGCCATGTGCGGTGGTGGCGGGGCCGGTCATGGGGCGCCATTTGCAACATATGAGGGAACATGGGCGCCCAGCACGGGAGCCAACGCATCATCGTCGTTGTAATCCTGCGCCATCTCCGTGTCGGACTTGGTCTACGCAACCGCACCTGGGCTGGGCTCATCGGAGTTTGTGTCGAAGCCGAAGAGGTAGTCCATGACCTTAGAGACGATGGATGAGACCTCAGATCGGTTGCACTCCATTGAACCGGGTAGGTGCAGTTGAGGTGGTCGATGAACCACCGGGTTGTAACATCCCAAATTTTCAGATTTGGAATGTTAATAGGATCATTCTTTGTCATCATGATTTCTATGCATATTTGAATTATTATTATTATTGTTTATTCAAAGTGTTTTCCAACTCAAGGCAAAAATATTTGGAGTGGAGATAATATGACTTCTCGCCTATTAATTATTTATGGAAATACTAAGAGTATATTCTGGAGTTTGCATAAATTAGTTTGGCATTGTTGAAGCTCAAAGTTATTTTAGAGTTGTTATAATGCTCTTTATGTGCTTGCATTGCATAAAATATAATTTTTCAAAGGTGCATATGTGTTTTAAAAATGTTCACAGTATTTGATATTAGTATTAACATTTTACTGTGTGTTATTGTGATTTTAGGAATCTATATGTATTTTGTTTTAGCCACGATATCTTTTCCTGTACAGTATATCTTCGCAGATAATACTGTTCATCTGGGCCAGCAGCAGCCCAACTCCTGTTTGTCGCCCAGTGCGCTAGAGCAGCAGCAACACAGCGTCGGCAGGCCGGCCCATTTCCCCGCACAGCCGCAGCCCACCCGCAGCCTTTCCTATTTGTTTTTTTATCTCTACCGCTGACTTTGGGTCCCGCTTGTCATCTCTTCCAACGACCGTGTTCATGACGAACACTGTGACCGAATCAGACCAAGTCGAATCGATCGACTCGATTGATCCCTGGACTCCACGCGCGAGTTGACGCCCTATATAAGTTCATAAATCCCTCCTCGACCGATTTTTGGCAAAAACTTGGATTCCCGTGCCCGTTTCGCCCGGATCCGATCTTGCCGGAGTTCGCCGCTGCAGGAGCATCTCGCCGGTTGTTTCCGTCGACGCACAAGGTTCCCAGCACCTCCTCTTGCCCCTGTTAATTCCGACTTGGTCTATTCTCTCTCCCTCACCTATTAGTTCTCGCAGGGAAGCACCCACCCGAGTGCTTCGACCTCCGCCCCGACGAACACCGCCGTCACCGCTCCAGCCGGTCACTGTCGCCACCGGAGGAAGCTCCAATTGTGTGGGAAGTTAACCACTTCATCTCCGTCGCTCTCTCCACTCGTAGGTCATATCTGCGTAGCCGGAGGCCCTCTGTAGCCGTCGCCCGTATCACCACCGAGCCGCCGGCGCCGTCCTTCTCCAACTCCGACGACGCCCAGCTCTGTTCTCAGGTGAGCACGTCTCCCTGCCGTCCGATCTTCTTTAAACGGCCGGGATTAGATCATCTGTGTTTTTTTTATATTTCCGAACCGTTATCTGTTAAGTTGCGGCCGTCCATCGTTTAACCTCCACAGCGAACACATCACCGGCAATAGTAATGCGCCACGTGGCACATCCACAGCCGCAGCAGTTCTTCGAAGAGATCTATTTTTGACACAATATTCTTTTGACAGATTCCATATCATATGTTCATTTAGGTATATCTTGAGATCCGTAACTCCAAATTCATTGATTCTTTTTCCTGTGTACTCGTAGTGACCAGGAGAATATTGTAGAACCAAAGTTTCACATTTTTGAACAGTTCAAATTTGAATTTGTTTAAATTTGAATTCAAACTTCCGGAGGCCATATCTTTCAAACCGTTGATCCAAATTAGTTGATTCTTTTTGCATTGTGATCCTACTAGCATGTAGATAATATATGCCTACTAATATGTTCTGTTATTTAAGTCTTTATTTGAATTCGTTGTTGTTTACTTTATTTTAGTGTTATGTGAGCATAGTTTATTTATCGTTACCTCCGTTAATCGTATAGATTGTCCGGAGTGTGAAGCGGATCGGAATTAATTGTTAGAGTACTTCAGCACCGTTCAAGGCAAGTTTGCACTATTGATTTTGCTCATCCTATATTCTGCTATGCATGTGTGATTTTTATGCTATGACATGTGCTTGGTTTGATCTGTTTGTTCTGTGTTGTCATATTCTAGTGTGATCAACTTGCTATGATAGACATGGGCATATGTCGAGTGATCCATGAAAGTGGTGAGTGTTTATAGCCGTAGGCTCGGGATTATTAACCAGGTGAATGCGTCACTGGCAGAGCGCTCTATTGTCCCTAGAGAATGCGCCATTGACAGAGCGCACTTGAGGCGAGGTTTAGTTTTCGGAACTTAAATCAGGTGAATGCGTCCTTGGCAGAGCGCTCTATTGTTCCTAGAGAATGCGCCACTGACAGAGCGCACTTGAGACATACTTCTGAAGTTCTTGTCATGTTTATTTAGAATCTTTGGGTTATCTTGGGCGAGTAAATTAGAGACGGTTGTGAGTTCAGGTAGTGGAGGTAGGTGAAGACATTCTTCTCCAAACTAGTGTGTTTTGTTTATCATACATTGCTTTGTGGATGTAGGTTTGCTATATCGTATTGTGTGATTTGCCAATACATTCAATGTATTGACCCTTTGTGGCTGCAACTTATCATGTTGCAGGATTTTCAGATGATCAGTGAGATACAGTAGGGTCACGAGTCTTCACTCAACATGTTCTCCAGTGGGCATTGATGGACTCGTCGTTGATTATGCTACCTTTTCGCTGTTATTATTGAATAAGTTAGCCATGTGCTATTCAGTTTGTAATACTTTATAACTTCTGGATCATACGTTATGTTAAATGATGCACTTGTTATTTGATATTCATATGTACTGTATGTGCTAGCGAGTTGATCGAGGGACTAGCACTGTGAGCACAGAGACATCGAATCTTATCAGGTTCGGGTCGTTACACGGGTAGAAGGCGTCGCCGACAACAACGGAGAGTACACACCTCAATGCATGAAGACAAAGAGAAAGAAGTGCAAGCGGGGCGACTTGATGATGGCGAGGCTCTGGGCGCGCTCGAGCTCTTGCATGAGGTTGTCGACATGTCCTCCAAATAGACGAAGATGAGCGGGTTGAGGACGTGGTGCGGGAGCTGATACATGAGCATCAAAGTCGGGCTCGCCAGGGACGACAAGGCGAGGGGGCGAGCTTGAGCTTGACAAACACAGGGAAGAGGACGACGTGAGGACGATGCCGGTCTCGCAACCGAGAACGGTCGGATTAAAATGGATGGCAGATTGGCCTGCTACAGTACACATACATTAACAGTAGTACTGCAGAGAAGCCGAACCTGAGCCATGGATCCCGCTTTAGCTGAGTATGAGGGATGAAACTTCTTTGGTTTGAAACATTCAAGTTGCAAGTTGTCCTGATTTTAAGTTAAGGGGCGAAATCTGCACTTCTCATTTAGTTCTAGGACTAAAAAAAGTCTCATTATTTTATGCCAATGTCATTTTTATATGATCAAAATTTGGCGTCGACGACGAGGTGCCCATAGTGACTTCGTAAACTTTAAAATGATATGCCCAGGATAACGTGTGCGTGTGTGCATTTATAGGAATGAGTGTATGAGCGTGTATATGAGCGCTTGCGTCTGTACTATGTTAATTTTTTTTTTGACGTGCAAGCTTACTAGTGGAATAAAACTCTCTATTTTCCCTAAAGAAAAATCACACGCCACACAGTGGGCATGACCAGCCCGGTCTCGGCACGGCAAGGCCCTTCCGCGAGGGCTCACCCTTGTCATCAACGCCACATTTTGTCGCTTCAAACCGTCAAGAGTTGTTTTATTAAACAAAAAACGAGATCGAAATGCCACGTCTGCTGTTCTTTTTTCCTTTCTTTCTCCCCACGCCCTCGCGGCCCCGCCTCGTCTTCCTCTCGCTTTGCCCGCTCGGAGCTAGACTCGATCGCATCGCGTCACATCCGAGGGAGGCAAAACCCTAGGCAGATCCCTCCCGAAGCCTACCGCGACCTTCCGCCCCCGGAGGAGATGCAGGGCGGCAACCACATGCTCCTCGAGGAGCCCGTCCGCCTCGCCTCCGTCCTCGCCCCCGCCAAGCCCGTAAGCGCCTCTCCCCTCCACCATTTCTCCTCTCCTCTCTCTACCGATCTCGAACTCTGCGTATCCGTGGTGCTTGTGGGTGGATTCGGGCTTCTTCCTCTCGATGTGGTTCACGATGTATGTTTGGTTGTCTCGATCCGATTTGGTGTGCAGAGAGGCCGGGGCGAACGGGCGTGGTGGAAATACCGGTGATCCGTTTCGTCAGAATGTAAATGACCCGTGTCTCCAACGGGAGCGATCCTGCGGGATTGGGGATTTTTTTTTTACTGTTGCGTGCGACCAAAATGTGCTGTCATGATTTTGTGAAAGCCGTCTGACGTTCTAATTGCAAATCGAATCCTCTTATTGGCAAGTGTGAGGCAACGAAATGGAGACAGTTTTGGTTTCATTTTCAGGATGCTGGATTGCGACCCTTATACATTGCCTGTGTTCTTTTGCAGAAAGTTTTCCCATCCCTCACTAAGATTGTTGGGACGCTTGGGCCCAACTCGCACTCAGTCGAAGTGATTGAAGAATGTCTCACTGCTGGGATGTCAGGTTTAATGACCGTTTCCTTTTAAACAGCTGGATTTAGTGCAATGGGATAGTCATGATTTTTCTGCTTTTGTTACGATGATAATAATTATCATAATGATCTGTGTATGTTTTCATTTTTGCAGTTGCGCGGTTTGATTTCTCTTGGAAGGATGCTACTTATCATCAGGAGACCCTCGACAATCTGAGGAAAGCGGCACAGAATGTGAAGAAGTTATGTCCTGTAAGTTGATTTAATGAATTATCTGTAAATGTTGATATGTATCTTTTGATGCGCAAGTTATTCTTGGAGATTGAGAACTGGGAAATAAAAATTGTCGCAACCTTCAGTTATTTGCTTCCTCATAAAGGAAAAAAAGAAAATAAAGTATCCTTTGTGATCAGTTGATCACCTGCGTTACTGTATGATAGTAGAGCAACTGAGCAAGTATTCTAAAATAGGTATACTAGGTCCTATACCATAGCATTATACTCATACATGGTACGCTCACAGGTTTACTACGTGCGTTAGGGTGATAAAATTTGTTAGTGCACACAAGGGAGAAATAGGCAGTGCAGCAGTGCTGTGCAC